GTTGATGATTTGGCTGAGGGGGTTCAGGCCTATGCAGAACAGCAGTGGGGACAGAGCATCTCCTTGGTAGGGAGAAATACCAGGGCCTCAGAGAGGAACTGGAAAAGACCTGGAAGGTGAAGACCACAGTGGTGCCTGTGGTCATCGGGGCCCTCGGGGCAGTTACCCCCAAACTGGAGCAGTGGCTAAAACAGATCCCAGGAACATCAGACATCTCAGTCCAGAAATGTGCAGTTCTAGGCCCAGCTTAGATACTGCGCAGATCCCTCAAGGTCCCAGGCCTCTGGTAGAGGACCCGAGCTCAGAGGATGAAAGAGACCACCCGCGGAGGGTGAGAGGGGAATTTTTTTTTAATATATATATTTATACACAGTTCTGGCGTCGACCCCTCCCGCTGAAGCGCCGCCCAGCCCTGTTCCACACTTAGTCAGCTGCTGGCATCCATCTCCCCTTTTGATGAGCCTCTTCGGCCAGTCTTTAACCCAGTGGTTCGGGTCTCCACAGATGTAGCAGTAGGAATTTTGAGGTTTTTTTGCAGGCTGCTGACGTCTCCAGTTACCGCGGCCCCTCCCCCGACTGCGAGGGAAACGAGCAGCGTTGTTGGGAACAGCTGGTTTTGTCACAGTCTGGGCCAGAGTGAGCTGTGTTTGCCTGTGGGCTTCAGATATCAGCTTATCTTCAGCCTCTCTTTCATCCTCTAGTTTCTCATACGCGCATCTGGCATGTTTGCGCAGTTTTTCCAAGCGAGCGTTTTTCATGTCCAGACAGGTGTCTTTCATCACTGCAAAGACTGCAGGTAACAGCCCGTTCAGGAAAAATTGGCTGAAGGCGCTCTCCCAATGCCCCATCACGTCACCCATGTCTGACGGCTCGTCGACTCCAGAGTACTCATTATAGACAGCTAGCAGCCGAGAGAAATAATCTTCCGATGATTCAGTCTTTAGCTGCACACAGGCCTTCACCTTTGACATGACAATCTTTCTTGTAAAAGCTCGGTTGATGGTGGCACACAGCTTATCCAATGCAGTTCGATATTGGTTGTTTGCTGCGTCATCAGAAGTCGGATGTATGACACGGTATTCACCCACCAGGTTGCCTTTAATCTTGTCAAAGTTGGGTCGGCCCATGTGAAAGAGTAGCAGTCTTCTCAGTTCAGGCCAGGTGGGTTGTACTTCCATGCAGAAAGTTTTAATGGCAGCGCAGAACTTTTCCCCACCTTCCACAACGTTCGGTAGCTGCTGCATGTATGCCTTCATGTCCTCCTTTGTCCAGGGACGGAACACCAGTGCTGGACCTGCATGTCCTGCGACCTCTATCATGGGCAGGGTCAGCTCACTGGTCTTCTGAGTTATGTCTGCTAGCTGTGATTCCAGAGCCTCTTTTCCCTCCTGCAGCTCAGCCAGTTTCTTTGCAGTCTTCAGTGCCACAGCATCAGAGCTGTGGCACCCTGTCTTTGACCGAGAGGTGGAGGGGCGGGGGGCTTTTGCTGCACCTTGCTTTTCCTGTCTTTTTCTGAGTTCCATCTTTGTAGCAGCTGCTTCAGTCACCTGTCTCGGCTTTGGCTGTGGTGGTTCTTGCTTCACTGGGTCGGTGCTCATAGGAGGTGGTGTCTGAGGACGGTTATCAGCAGCTGTGTCGTCATCAGATTCTGTCTGCAGCACCTCTTCCTCCTCGTCATCAGATCCTTCGTCAGGGTCATCGCTGTCGGAGCGGGGTCCTGTCGGTGGTGGGGGTTGACGACCAGGGGCCAGAGTGTCCTCATATTGTTCTCTCAGCCCATGCAGAGAGGGATAAATGGAGGGAAACACACTTTTAGTAGTTTTACCAACAGCTTTTTCATCATTTTTTCATCCTTAAAAGTAGGCTTTTTTCTTTTCATTTGTATTGGGAGGAGAGCCACTTTTAAGCATACACATTTCTGAGCTCAGTGCCTTGTTTTCTCTCCTTAAAGCTTCCTCCTCCCACGCTAACAAACATTTTTTATGATGCTCTATTTCATTCAAATCAGAGACCTTTATCATTTTTTCTTGATTTAAACTTTGATTCATGTTCCATTAAACGGTCCCGGAGGTGGTTCAACTGTCTGGGACTGAAACTTCCCCCCTCCGGAAACCCGAACTTGTCAGACCACACCCGCAGACATGACGTGGCTTCTTCGCCATATTTTTTTACCATAGCTTTAGCACACGGCCCGTCTGGTGCTAACATAGGCTGACCGACAGATGTAATCTGACCCATCACTATAACTCGTGCCTCAATGCACTACTTAAACAAACTTCCTTAAAATGGAAATCCGGCGGCCGCCTTTAACTGACTTTTAGCCTACAACTGTTTCCCTGAAACAGAAACGGAAAATTAAATTTTCCCTCAGCAGTTAGCCTGGCTAACTACCTACTCTCACCAGGTTGAAACTAATCTCCTCCTGGCTACCTCAAAACAGTAAAGTCAAACCTCCCTGTTTTAAAAAAACTTGGTCTGGAATAAAACCGCTCCCAGAAACCTACCTCAGCTAAAAGTCATTCAACCGCTGAAAGCAACCAGAGCAGGCATCTAACAAATAGATTTTTAGAGTGTGCTGGACCCAAAAGGGTTAGCCGTAGCACATTCGCTCTTTTACTTATTTATTTATTTTTCCCGAAAACGTAAAGAAGATATTTAGCTCACCGTGTTTCTGTCAGACAGGTTCTTTTCAGCTCCGGTCTCGAAGACACCCAACAGCGGCCGAGACAAAACAAAACAAAACAAAAACAAAAACAAAAACAAAAAAAAATACAGTATCCAGCGTGGACACATTTCAGAGGGAAAAACCTTTTTCTCTCAAAAAAACTCCTTCCCCCCGTCCAGCCAAAAGTCGGCCACAGCGGGTAGCTCCAGTTCCCAGAAACTGCGTCTATGACAACGCCAAAAATGTCGTGACAATGAAAGGCAGAAACACGTTGAAATAATGCCAGGAAAAAAGTTTTGCATGTATGGTCTAGAATTATTTATTTCTGGGCAGACAATGAACAGAAAACAATCAGGAAGTCTGTTGAATGTGGCCACCGTCATCAGATGGCAAACCAATGATATATCCTCAATTAACACCATGTGCCAATGTACAACCAGTCACAATCCTCCTCATGTTACTATAAGCCAATTACAGCTCTCAGCTCAAAGAGTCAACATATCTGCACAAAGAGAGAGATCAGCACGATGCTGGAGTCCTGACGTCTGGAACAAACAGATTAAGAGATGACATGAGTTATCTTAAGATAGGAGCAGTGGACAGTGTCAAGGTGACACAGATATAATTAGTCTATGACACAGACAAAAAACAAACAAAAAAAGAGAACAGAAGACAGAATAAAAAAAGGACAAGGCAACAAACAGCAATCGTAATACATAAATTACATTGTTTATAGTCTAAGTTAGTCATAAAATCCATAACACAGATGTTATTTTCCATTTAAATGTGTTCAATTAGTACATTTTTCCATTGTGTCAGACTGATGTTGGTCCTTGTTTTCCAATTCATAATAATTGTCTTTTTAGCATTGGTTAATTCGATATGTAATTGTTTAGTATTTGGATCATCATTAATATTATTTGTGGTGTCTCCTATTAAACACAGACATGGTGATAATGGGATGAGCCAGCCAAACCTGCTGCAGAGAGATGTACCGTATTTATTCATGTATACAAATCTTCAGTATAATACGATCAACATTTTTTGAGCTTAAAAAGCATAAAAATGTAATCATCAATAACCCTTGTATAATACAAAATGATACTCAATTCTAAGAATTGAGTATCATCAAATTTATATTGTGTAATTATCTGAAAATAAGAAGTGCTTGGGGTTTTGTTCACGAGTGAGGGAAGGATGGAGCGTGAGATTGATAGACGGATTGGTGCAGCTACCGCAGTTTTGTGGACTGCGTACCAGTCTGTTGTGGTGAAGATGGAGCTGAGCTGTAAGATGAAGCTCTCCGACTGATCTCTTTACCAATCCGTCTACGTTCCTACCCTCACCTAAGGTCACGAGTTTTTGGTAGTAACCGAAAGAACAAGATCACGGATACAAGCGGTTGAATAGAGTTTTCTCTGCAGGGTAGCTGGACTCTCCCCTCCGGGAGAGACTCAGAGTAGAGCCGCTGCTCCTCCACATTGAGAGGAGCAAGATGAGGTGGTTTGGGCATCTAGGGAGGTGCTTCAGGCATGTCCAACTGAGAGGAGACCCAGAGGAAGACCCAGGACATCCTGGAGAGACTATGTCTCCCAGCTGGTCTGAGAACACCTTGGAGTCCTTCCAGAAGAGCTGGAAGAGGTGGCTGGGGAAAGAGAGGTCTGGACTTCCCTGCTCAAGCTGCTGCCCCAGCGACCTGACTTCAGATAAAGCGGCAGATGATGGATGGAGAACAGTTTATTATATCCATAGATATGTTAAAACTGTGTAAACCCCTTAAAGACCCATGAGCTGAAGAAGAGGGGTTTCTAATTTATTGTGAGATCTGGATTATTCCAAAGTGGTGTTGAGGCGGTAAATTTTGAATTAGTAATATTATTGAATCTCCACCAAAATGACAGAGTGCTTTCAGTGATTGGTGATTTAAAGTAACCATGTTTCTTAATGGTTTGACTAATGACTGGTGAATCTGATTGTGGCATTTTGCCATAAAATGATTGTTTTATTTAGGCCATTGTACTGCTGATTTTTTGGTCCATTTAATTATATACATTAACATATTGGCTATATAATAACTATAGAAATTTGGTGCATCTAGCCCTCCATATTGTTTTGATTTTTGCAAGGTTGATAACTTTATACTTGAACATCTTTTGTAAAGCAAAAGTTTCTGCACTACTAGCTAGCTGTAAACACCTCCACCAAACTAAAATGGACCGGTCTGGAAGCTTGCAGGGGGTGCGGGGGTGTGAAGCACCTTGTTTGGATTTAAAGGGACAACCTCAAAACGAGTTGATGTGAGAAACACCTCAGAAAAGGGGCGGGGCTTTTGGAGTTACAGTACAGAGGAATTCAAACCAAAGCATTGAAGTTATACTGTAAAAAGACCCCAACTGAAGGATTTTAATGTGGAAAACATGTCTCCTTTTAAATAGGTCAAGTTAAGATAAAAACATTTGCCATTCAACATTGTTTACTTACACTCACCCTTCTGTTCTGATATTTGTCTACAGAATTCTTTATTAGTTTTGCTTGTTTCAGAGCATTTGTTCCTTTCTAGGGCTCACCATTCCCCTAAATAACATAATATATGACAGGGATTACCGGTATGTAAATATTTTTTTAAATTGATCTTCATTCATACTAATTAAAATATCTAAACATTGGACTGTATATATCTAGTGTGTAGGATATCTGTGCAGTGAAATTTTGCTCGCTTGCTCTGAGGATCATTTATACAGATTAGAGCTGCCAGAAATTAGTCAGTTTACATGAAAACTGATCTACTCTTAGCACCTGTTGAATCAGCCTTCAGTACAAATAAAACTCATTTTAGTGAAACTTAACAGTTATTTTTGTGTGCCCTCTCACCAGATTTGTTCGGCGAGCTTCCCGTAGAGTCTGAACACAACGACAGCATGGGTGAGTTCAGACTTGTTGGAAGTGAATTCATTCTTTCTAATGAGAAAAAGTCAATCAATTTCTTCCACTACATTTGTGATAAACGTTTGAGATCAGCACTGACCAGCCTAACCCATATTAAATGTCAGCTATTTAGGATTATTAGAAAAAGAGCTCCATCTAGTGTCAATGTGGAGTTAAAGAATCAAAAAAGCAGTTTTAATTTCAAGTTCAATCCACAAGAGGGGAGTATTAACTCAGCAATGATGCTAAACTCTTGCCTGCGAATCAGCACAGTACTACTGACACAAAACACTGAGTGTCTGTTTCAACCAAATCCAGTAGATGAAAGTGAAACATGAAGAAAATGTACCTGAAACAAAATGTTTGACTCTGTCATCATGGCTTAGCATGGTTTCAATTATTGCATTCATTGTATA